TTTTTTCCATCCTTTCCAGTTCAAATATAAATACAAATTTTGTTTTTGGTGTATCCCTTGTCAATAGTATGATGTTGGATTTTATGGAGTTTTTTATAAAAGATATCATGCATCTCTTTGTGAAGATGAATTTAAAATGATTTGTCACGATCACTTACGTGTCTGAATTCGCCCGGGCTGCGGCGGCACTTCCTGTCCACCGCACTGTCTTTGCTCTCTTTCTGCCGCTTTTCTTGCCTTTTCAATTTTGTTCATTCTCCCCCCACCCCCCGGAAGTTGTATACTCCCTTTCTATTCCTTAAAAAAAGTTATCCTTAAACTTCTAGATCATTTCTTAAACTTGTGTTTCCTAGGACATTCCAAAAGACACCAGGCGAGCAGACCCTCGGCCACTGGTCTCGGGCGCTGGGGCTGGGCTGGGGCTGGGGCTATTTCGCTGACTCACGCATTCAGCGACGATTGAGGAGTCCGATAACTAAAAATCTAGTGTGGAAGAGTGCTCAGAAATGTGGAAGTTCATCATGGCATCATGTGCAATAGGAGAAAAATAGAAGCAATTTGATGTATAGTAAGGGAATAAATGAATTATGCTAATCCACACAACTGCATATTATGCAGTCATTAAAATCGTGTCTTTGAAAACTTCAATGATAAGAGAAAGTGCTTATGATAATAGCATAACAAGATGCCCTAAGCAGGTCTCTGTCTGTCTGGCTGCGGCAAGAAGGAAACAGAGCGGCACCACCCAGGAGTCGTGACGGAGGCCGCATGTGCCACTCTCTGAGCAGGCTGGGAGGACGGGGACACGGAGACAACAGGACACGCCCACCAGAAGGGCCAAGACCGACCACTCCCAGTGTTGGGGAGGACATGGTGGCACGAGGCCATCATCCCTGCAGCAGAAACGTAAGTTGGAAAAGCCGCCTTGGGAGGCAGCTTGTCACTGTCGATTCGCGTGAACGACGCGCTCCACGTGGCTCTGCAGTCCCGCTTCCAGGCAAACACCCAGCAGAACTGCGGGCACACGGCCACCGAGAGACACGCACGCATGTTCCGGGCCACATTCTTCATGACACTCCCCAGCTGAAAGCAAGCCGACATCCAGCAGCAGCAGAATGGACGACTGCAGCCCACTCAGGCCACGGAAAACCACACAGCAACGGACAGAGTGAACCACAGCTACAGCCACACAGATGTCCCCACAGGCAGAAAGTTGAAAAGAAATTGTTCATGAAAAAGTATATACTGTACAATTCCACTGACATAGTAAAAGTTTAGAAATAAGCAAACGGAAGCATGGGTTAGCAGTCAGAGCCAAGCCGTGCAGGAAGGAGCGTGGCAACTCGCCGAGTGCCAGGTTTGTGCTGTGCCTTCTTCTGTGCCACGTCACGGTTTAAACGTAAAAACAAGCAAAAAAATCATTGCAAAATTTTCAGAAAAAAATGTAAAGACTGGAGAGAATCACCAGTTTCCTATCGCCGCACAGCCTGCCCACAAGCGCGGCCCGGACCACACAGCTGGCGCGGGGACGCACACAGCGCGGGACTCTGTTTTCATTTCTTTAACTATTAGTGACGTGAACAGTTTGCCACTTGTATCGCTTCTGTTTGCGCACTGTCTTCTGTGCGGTGCCCATTTTTGTGGATTTCCAAGGGCCTGTGTGCAAGGCGTGTCACCTGTCATTGGACTTTGTCTCCTGAGGTTCTGGGGTTCGGGTGGTCACGGCAGTCTCTGTCGTGCATATGGTGACATTTGTCATCAGTCTTCTTTATTGTTTTCACCACTGGCCTCACGCTCGGAAAGCCTTTCCCCACTCCTCGTTATACAAATAGCCATGTGTTTTTATTTTGAGTATGGGGGGTTAACTTTTATATTTAAATCTACTCATCTGGAATTTATCTGAGTATATAATATTTTTTCCCTAGACGAATAATCAGCCCATCTTGTCAACGAAAGGGACTATTGGCACAGTGACGTAAGTGGCCGCAGGCACTCACTGGGCATCCTTTGTTGGGGCCTTCTGTGCCGGTGGCAGCAGGGGGCGCATGGGAGGCTCGCAGCTGGGGGCGGACTGAGCAGCCACGGCCCACGGCCAGGGGTGGCGCGGCGGGGAAGGCGAGGGCGGGCCGGGTGGGGCAGGGCCAGTGTGCTGGGCAGGGCCGGGGGCACCAGGGAGGGCCTGTCTCCAGCAAACTCCACTCAGCGGCAGCCTGACAGCGGCCTGCCAGGGCCTCGTACTTGGTGACTGCAGGGAGGGGACGGCCACTCTCCACCTGGCAGACCACGGCGGGCAGCAGCACGTGCCCACGCCCCGGGCACTGGGCCCAGGCAGACGGCGACCCGCAGCTGAGCCTCACGCTGGGTCACGGGGCACGAGGTGGACAGGCTTCCCCCTATGGAGCCACCAGCGCACCCACGGGGACGGGACCACACCCGATGCCCAGTTAGTGGGCAGCACAAGGTGACAGAAAGCGAAGTGCTGCCGCGGGAGGGTCCCAAGTGTGGGAGCCGCACGTGGGGGATCCAGAGGGGCGTGGGGCGCCGCGGAAGCTGCCCTGGGAAGTAGAGGCTCGACAGGCCTTGTTTCACTGGTGCAGGGCGCGGGCTCGGTGTGTGGTGTGCTGGCGGCAGGGGAGCCTGTCCTGGGTCCCAGCAGTGGGAGGAGGCGGCCCCGGATCCCGGCACCTCCCCCAGCACAGCATTTCCCAGGGCAGGCACTAGACAGACGCGGCCGGACGGGGAGGCTCAGCGCTCCACTGCTGCCACCCCCGAGCAGGGCCTTCCCCGAGCCACCTGCGCAAGTGCACCTTCCTCTCCCTGGCCGTCCTCGGTACGCCGCGGTGGCCCGGGGCTGCGGCAGGGCCAGGCCAGGGCGCCCTGCTCCTTCAGGAACCAGTGCTCACGTCGCGGGCCCAGGCTGCGGCTCTGTCGCCGAGCCTCTATCCCATGGCCTCAGCACATTGCATCCAGATCAACCCGCTGGACCCAGGGCCTGTCCCGGACACCCTCGCGTTCAGTCCTGGCCTTCGCACGCGTGAAAACATATGCAGCACTTACTCTAACTTTGTGGGTCCTTCCTGTCTGGAAAACAAACTGCCTCAGGAGGCGCATGGCTTGTGTCCCCGCATTCTGGCTGTGCAGCGTGAGCCACAGAAGGGAAAGCTCCCAGGGCGGAGCTCGGCTGAGTGGCAGGGGCTTCCCGCACACAGAGCCACTGTCCCTGGGTCCCCCACCCAGAAAAGGGGCAGACGGGGAGGGGGCGGCGCGGCTGGTCTGAGAGGAGCCCCTGGCCCCACGGTGGGGCAGCAGGCAGGGGTGGGGCGCGCTCCGTCTGCCTAAGGCAAGCCGGTCCCTGCCGCTGATTTGGGAGCATCTGACATTTGCACAGTATTCTGTGCTAATTTCCATGCCAGATGTAATGACCCTAGAATTTTTTAATAGAAGCAAGAACGCACACACATCACGTGTGTCTGCATATTCCACAGGCTCCGGCAGTGTCCCAGTGCCTAGGTGGGGCACGGCTGCTCCTGAACGACATACCAGTCGAGAGGGGGTCAGAGGTGGGTCACTGAGGACATGAGCCTGCCGTGCGGGCATCAGAGAGGCTGGGGCTGGGGCCCCACCCACAGGGGTGTCCATGTCCCCAGGGCCATGCGGCCCATGACACAGATGGGGGAATGTGCAAAAGCCAGTCCCAAAGCCCCTGGAACAGCAAATCCAGCCCCAGCAGAGCCCCAGGCGGGGGCTGAGTCTGGGCCCTTCTGCACTTGGAGCCCAGGAACCAACCCACAGCAGAGGAAGCAGTCGGGTCTCTAACACGCCTGCAGGAGCGGAAAGCGGGTGGGTGGGCAGCAGCAGGGCCACGCTGGACCCCGAGTCCCTGAGCAGCTCCGCTGCGGTGGGGAAAGCGCATCATTCAGGGCTTTGGTCACAGGGCCGAGAGCCCTGCCTGACTGGGGTCTTCTGTCTGAGGACAGCCCCGACCCTCATGGTGGGTGGTTTGACCTGGACTTCCTGCAGGTGAGGGGCTCTCTCTTTTAAAAGAGGTCAGACAGGGAAAGCCAGGAATGCGAGAGGCCTCCTGTCCCACGGCCTCCCGGGAGCTCGGCGGGCTCAGGGCTCGGCTCGCGGCGTCAGCTTCCTAGCTGAGCTCAGACCAAGCGCGCGAGAGAACACCCCCAAGTGCAAGGCTGGCCAGCCACGGGAACGGGCCGGCGCGAGAGGCTCTCGGGAGCGGAGATCCCAGGCTAGTGTGGCAGCTCCTTAGTCTGCATGTTGTCTACCCTACGCTTTATTCTTTCTCACGCAACAGAATAGAAATTTTGCATTTCAAAGTAGGTGAGAGATGGCTACCACCTCGCTCTGGCCCGGCGCCCGGGCAGCAGGCCTCTGCCTCTCAGGCTGCCAGGCTGGGCTTCCAGCAGGCGGTCATTTGGCAAGGATGCTCCCGGGGGAGGGCAAGGGGGAATCTCGACCCGCCCCTGGCCCCAGAAGCCAGGACCCTCCCCTGGCTCTCTTTGGTATCTCAGGAAACAGAGGCCACCCATCCTTGCCAGCCCTGGACCAAGTCTGGGGACCAATCCCGGCAAGCTCCCCTGGAGGGCGGGGCTGCCCCACAAGGGTCTTCCTCGTCCCAGGACTGGCCCGAGGGCCTGCCGCCAGCCAGGCAGGGGTGGGGCGCCTCCCGGGAACGACGGCGAGGCCTGCTGCCAATGGACCCAGGCTCATTTCTTATAGTGATTGGGGGCGTCCGCGAAGGCAAACTTGAGGCGGTACGCGTCAGCCAGCAGCAGGCTGATGTCTTCGTCGTCCCAGTGGGCCGTGGGCAGGTTCTGGAGGAAGAGCAGCAGCTCCTGGGGAGACAGAGACAGGCCCAGGTCAGAGGAGGTGACCCACAGCAGGGGGAGGCCTCAGACCAGGAACCCTGCAGCAGGGACCCTGGGAAACTCATCCAGCCAGCAGGTGCCCCTTGTAGCAGCTGCTCCCCACGGCAGGGCCCTGGGCTGCGGCCCGGTCCTGGCATCTGAGCAGATGCCGAGGTAGGCCCCAGCACTTCGTTCGACTGAATCCCAGCACCCCCCACAGGGAGACCCGGCTCCCAGGGGCCTGGCTGCAGGTTTCTCACCTCCACCCGGGCGCTTCCCACTCCCCCAAAGCCTCTCCTAGACCAGGAAACAAGGCACCGCTGCCCCTAGAACTGCCACTAGGCACAGATTTCTCCGCATCAGGCGACACCCCTGGGCACCAGCGCAGTCAGTGGCTGAAGCACGCGCGCACAGGGACCACAATGTGGAGCCAGCCCCGAGAGCCCAGGAGCACGTCAAAGCCCAGCCCAGCCCCGCAACGCCCGCCCCACACAGGAGGCACCGGGCCCAGCAGGTGGGGCGCTGGGCTCCAAGAAGCCTGGCTTCACCCTCGAGGTCCAGCTGAGCACCCTGGGGCGACGGCTCCACCCTCTGAGATCCCATTTCCTTCTCTGCAAACGGGGCACCAGTTCCCTCCTGTCAGAGCTGCCGGGCAGACTGGGAACACGACCGGAGTCCAGTGCGTACCCAGCCCCCAGCATCAGGTGGACACGCTGGGTGGGCACACACTGGACACACAGGGTACACCAGGCACACACTCGACGGCACACACTGGGCACAGCAGTCGCACACTCGATGGTACACACCGGGCACTCAGGGTGGGCACACACCAGGTAGTGCCTGTGACTGTCACTCACTCGACTCCTGGTATTTCGGGGAAGGGCAGCTCTGCTAGAGAGCGCTCCCTGCTAGAGCCCCCTGCTCCCCCCACAGGCCTCAGCTCGGCCATGTCCCCGCCCGGGTGGTCTGGGGGGCACTGAGTCACCCCTGCAAGACACACAAGGGACCATCTCCAGAGCTCATGGTTTAGAAGCAGTGTCCAGCTGAAGCGTGGTGATCGAGTGTCACCAAGGCAGGTACTGAGAAGGAAAAGTGCAGGGGCCTGGGACACAGTGGGGAGACCTGGGGGCCCTCACATGACCACCGTGCCCTGAGGCCCCCAGGCTCTGGTCCTAGAGAGCGCGGCCCCAGCACTCCCGGGCCACCTGCAGGCTCCTACTCCTCCCCGCCCACGTCACGCGGAGTCAGACCCAGGAGTCGGGAAGGCGGTCGCGGCCCCTCGCTGGCTCAGGGGCTGCGGCCGTCCCAGCGCTGCCCGCTCCAAGCCCGTATCGCGAGAGTCTCAGACCAGGACTCTCCTCTAATTGTTGTTCTCCTGTTGCTGGGCTTCCAGCCCCTCCCCGCAATTCCATTTCCTTTTGCATTTTGGATACTTTCTGTGGGCCTTTAAATTGAATTCACGGAGCAAATTTCACTGGCAAAAAGTCCCCAGGGACACATCAACATCAATCTGCTGTCTTTCACCATTAGATGCAACGTACACGGATGCCAATCCAATTCTGAGCGGGTCATAAATAAATACCTTTGGTTTTATTTTTAATCCACTTCGCTCCATATTATCACGACCTCGCCACTTGCAAGGTGAGAAGCAATACCCTCCCATTACGGTAACTCACCGACTCCACTGCACACTCAATTTCAGAATCTAATTTAGTCCCCCAGGTTCGCTGGATGGAGGGAGAATAGAAATGCCCAGTTCTTCACAGCCTGCAATGCTAAAGCAGGAAAAATCTATCGGGGTGACCTTTACGGGAGGCAAAGAACACAGCCAAACACATCCTGAAATACAGATTTCGTCTTTAGAAAGGCTTGTCTCATTTACGCACTAGGCAGAGATGTCCCCTTTCTGGGAAACACGGTGCATTTGATACCCGTGAGCGGTTCTGCATCACCCACATCATGCAGGCAAAGGGGCCGTAGCTCACGAAGCCAGCGCTTGGTCATATGAAAGAGGACCCAGCTCTCCCTGGGATGACTCTGCGCTGCATGAACGGGAGGGTGGGGCCAGGACAGCCTTCAACACGGCCAAGCCAGAGAACTGTGGATGCATTTGCGTTCTTAACCATAACTTTCCTGTGAACAATGCTACGACCACATCAGTGGAGGTAAAAATTAGAGGAAGGCTTTGCTCACAACACCGATGCCGTAACAAGTCAAAGACGTTCAGATCTCTGCAATTCTTTTCCACCCTTGTCCGTGGGACGCCATCATTCCAACAGAGCCACCCGTGGCAGGAGCACGGTGTGAAGCCGTGTACCCTGCCTTTCTCGATTGGCCTTTTGTTCCCCAAATCCGCCTGGCTAACGCCTAATGTCTGCAACGGTCCTTTCCAAAGGGTGTGTGGTGACAAGTGATGGAATTGGTCCCACCTGCATGGCCTCGAGCTCGGTGTTCTTAGCCCTGACCATGTGTCCTCACCACCTGAGGAGCTCCAGAAACATCCCGAGGCCAGCCCCAGCCCAGGCCAACAGACTCAGAACCCGGGAGGTATGGCCTGGGCAGAGGGTCCATCCAGGTCCTGAGTGCAGTGGCGGGGGGACTGGGGCTGTCCCCAGACACTCAGCCTGCCACACTCTGAGAGCATCGACTGAGCTGGCCTTCCTGTCTGCCAGGCAGCCCCTGCCAACGCTGCCTTGGCAAAGGCGGAGCCCTGACTCGCAGGCCTTGGTGCAGGCGAAGGTTTTGTTAAAAGCTCCCCAGGTAAGCAGGATGCAGAGCAAAGGTCAAAAGCCAGGTTGGCTGTTTCCAGTAGTCTGCTCCCACGACGGTGCTGGGCAGATGTCATTTAGACAGACGTCGCCCTGCTGCTAACCTTCGCCCCCGTGTAGGTTCCAATAGGTGATCCCTCTAATATTAAAGAGTAAATAACACTGGTGGCTTTGGCTACTTCTTGCCAAAAGGGTTGTACTTTTCCGGAGAGTCGAAGGCACCCCGGCGATATCTGTACAGTGTGACTGTCTCTGTGCATGGCCCTCCCGAGAGAGAGAGGGAGACACGCCTGTGTCCTTGGGCTCCAGGAAAGGGGGCAGGCAGGTCACTGCAGGCGCTGGGCCCCCTCAGGCCTCAAGCTTTGTTTGGCTGACCCAGGGCGGAGGCTCGCGTGGGCAGCGACGCAGACAGGTCATAGGGTCAGACGCCAGGAGACCTGGGCCCGAGCTCGGGCTCCACTGCCACCAGACCTCACAAATGTTACAGACACGTCCTTGGTGTTCTCCCCCAGTCACGGGGTCATCTCTCTCCCCTGCTACCACCAGGTCCGTGTGTCCCTATGTCCCCAAAACTACACACACGGCACGCAGTGGTGGCCAGTGGACATCTCACAGTGCATAAAGCAATGCAACTAAGAGCATGCCCGCTGACAACGTGGCCAGGGTCCAAATCCTAGTTCCGCATTTGCTTGTCACGTGACCCTGGGCAAATCTCATAACCCTCTGTGCCTCGGTTTCCTCATCTGTAAAATGGGGTTAGTAACAATATCTCGCTGTGTTGTTGAATGTGTGCAAAGTGCCCTTGACAATGCTTAGAACATAGAAAGCACAATATAAGTGTTACCTGTTGTTACTATTACTAAACCATCATTATTATCATCATTAGCGGTAGTACTAATAATCACAGTAATAGTAGTAGCAGCAGCATTTGTTGTGCAAATAAATAAATCTGTTGAATAAATTTTTATCCACGGAAAATGCCAGATAGTTTAGCAAATAAGTTTAATAAGAAATCAAATTCTCATTGGACAGAAAGCTCCAAGGAGGGAGGGGTGATGTCTCATCCTCCTGCCACGACACTGGGCCACGGCACGTGTGGGGCAAAGGTCCGAGGGCAGGAAACGCATCACAGTCCCGCCTCGTGTGCCACAGGTCTCTGCGCTCCTGAGAGGCTGCCCAAAACCGAGAAGGATCAGCTTTTTAACCTCTTCAGACAGGATCTTCAAATCCTAACCCCAGATGCAAAATGAACTGTATTTAATTTTAAATATTCTCAAAGAACTGATGGTGCATGAATTGCTGAGTGCACCCTACGTGTCTCTGCGTTGGGATGACCCTGCCCTGAGTACCAGGGCAGGGTGTGCTCTGCCCCATGAGCTCAGGGTTCTCCACAGGGAGGCTGCCCCAGAACCTCAGGACAGCCCCACGGCCCCGCCACGTGGGTGACAGACTCGGGGCCGGATGGGGAGGGCAGCTGCCTGCCCAGGTGCGTGGGCTCCGACGCTGAGCTCCGAGTATACACCTTTTCTAAGTGAGAGTTAAGTGTCCTCCCGCAGAAGGGTGCAATTGGCGTGACCCTTGGAATACAGGAAGCAGATCTGCCGACTAAAGAAGAAATGTCACGATCTGACAATGGACGTCCTGTCACACTGCGACTGGGATCGTCCCACTCAAGTTCAACTCAGGACTAACCAGAACAGGAACAGAGAGAAGGACCAGAGGTGGGGCCCACACGAGCTGGGAGCTGTGACGGAGCAGCAGGAGGCCCAGGGCTGCGTGGCTCATCGCAGGCCACCAGGGCCCGGCATCGACGTCTTCCGGACGCACCCTCACACTCCAGGGCTGGGCGGAGAAGTAAGCACCAGCACCGTGACCTGGCGGCTGTCGGCCCTTTGAGAGCAAAGTACTGCAAGGACAAGGAGCGGCCTAAGCAGCCAGCCGTGCCTTCCGCGCAGGGCCCCAGCGCCACGACGGCTGGCGCAGCCAGGGACTCGGCCTGTGCGAACGTGCCTGCGCGCCCCCTTCCCGGGCACATGCGAACGCGCAGGCACGCGTGCGTGAGAGCGACTGGAAAGGACCAGCAGCCACAGGGTGACAGTGCTCATCGTGGGCAGGAGGACGTGGCAGTTTCTTTTTCACTCATCCATATTTCCCAGCCAATCTTTTTAAGATAAACACGCGTTAGCTGTACCCTAAAAATGATTTTTTAAAAAAATAAAA